AATGCGATAGGGCCTATACAACTACTCATGGTGGCCAGCCAATGCATAACACAGTGTTCTATCCTACCAGACAAATCTCACCAATTTATGGGCTATAAGGGATGGAAGGCTTATTTGGCCTGGGTGGTAGCGGATACGGGACTTCACCCCCGGACCGCGCGTGTGGTTAGCGTGTCACTACACATAGCACCACCTCCTCCTCATGAAAATACATCGCTGCAAAAATGACGGACGTCCATGAAGCCGTATGACCCTTCAGGATCCCTCCCACAAACCGAAATTTAGACATGTTTTTTTCTAAACTTGTCCGCAGGACCAGATCAGGTCAGAAATGCCTCACTGGAGCTTGTTTGACCTTTTGAACAAAAACCATATATCCGTTCTGACGCGAAAGTGCTCAGCGCCAGGTGCCTGGCACCAAATCAGGCCTCCGCTGCTGGTGGCAAGCGTTTCGAAGCTGACGATGTAATGTTGCCATTCAGAGTTCAACCCCACCCCCTGATGGCAAATTCTAGTACAATCTCACCCCGGAAAAAATAACTCGACAAAAGACCAGGCTACAATTTAAAGTAAAGTCGTAACTTTGAATGGTGCCCATAAAATTTCACAAATGGAACCTAGTAAAATGAAAAACCAGTATCAGGAGCGTTGGAAATACAACTGCCAAAATAAACGGAAATGACCGCTGGTAAAATAGATAATAAATATATTCCATCCAGACCAAGAACAGAATAATTTCCTGTCCCTTTCGCAATCTGACTTCTTTCCAAAGGACCGGTTTCCGGCAGACGAAAAACTCGTGTGGAATGTGCGATTTCGAAAGAAGCAAGTCGCTATATCGTTCAAGATCCAAGGATTCCGAAGCGTTCAGCCGCTCACGTAGAACATGCAGTCCAGGCAAGGCTTCTTCACCTACCGGGCCGTACTGGGAAATGGTTTGTCTCACTTCTCAACAGATAAGAAAACCCAACTGGTTACGCCAGCGCAAGGGAACCCGACTGGCTACACTAGCGACAAGTGGAAACTGAGCAAGGGCCAAACAATTAAGGAAAATGCAATTCTTTCCAATAAATACCATTGTAACTCACATCCTTATTCGTGATCATCAAACATAGGTCCATGTCAGATGTATTGTTGCCAAAACCATTCAATGACGATCCAACAACATACAAACCGCACACTATAAAACAATACTTCAATTAATCAATAAACCGGTCAATACAGAAGAAAAACGAATCGGGTTGTGCCTCGCGATAGTCAATACAGAAGAAAAACGAATCGGGTTGTGCCTCGCGATAATCTTTTTTGATTAAGTAACTTTATAAATCGGTCAATGGAACGATTTCTCTGGTCTCGCTAAACGTTCATACTTCGCGATGACGCGCGTCCACGCACTACAACTGCAACAGCGCACCATTGCTACATGCTGGATCGCAGCCATAAATGTCCTACTCTCCTCTTCCGAAACACTAGAAGCCGGCACCAATCTATATTCCTGTGTGGCTGCGGTTCCATTAGCGATTCCATCTTAAGCTGCGCCGCTTCAGAACTTGCCCTTGAGTTCCACCTATAATCAACCTCTACTTGACAGCACCTTGGGGGAATTACAAAAAAAAGCTAGGAGGACCAAGCTCAAAAAAGTCTTCCGCCTGGTACCCGGCGACCTGAAAGGTCGTGACATCAATAGAAGGAAAAACGTCGCACGTGAGGTCAGCATTTTTTCCCCAGCCGATTACATCGGGCCGGATTGCAAAATTCGAAACGGGTTAGGCAAAAACCAAACAAGACTCACTTGGAAACACAGGGCAAATCGAATAGTACAGCATATCACGGAGATGCAGCTTCCGATTAAGCATCTTTTCCGATTGCGTAACCGAATTATGATAGTGCCAGATCTCCTCGCTTAGCTGCAACAAGAAAACGTTTGAAAAACTGCAAGTTCAGTAACTATCTAGTATACTCACCACATCCATTTCGGATATTTCGAACTGTATTCCGCGACCCAATTGACTTGTCGGAGGTGTTGGACAAGTGTGAACTACAACTGGAGTCTC